TTCAGATCAACATGGAATTTCTTTTCTTAAAAATTAGAAGCAAGTAGAAGGCAAGAAATTAATCTCCATTTGAATATAGATTCTTTAGTGTTGGTTAAACATTTTTAAATTACTTAAAATATACTCTGGCAACATTGTTTAGTTTTCAAGCTATAATATTGATAAATTATTTTTTCAACAGAAGACATTTGAACATATTTCAAACAAGTTTAGCAAGTTCTTATCTGCGAGAGAGTGTATTGCATATTCGTTACGTTGCCTTTTTTCTCGTTTCACACTCGATGTTTTATTTACATGCACGTGAATGCCTCCGGGCTTTATTATTCTTTTTCTGACAATTTGCCAGAAGAAGTCGTCGTCGGTTGCGGCTGGTTCTGTGCGCCTTTGAACAGCATCTTGTTTGGTTAGATTATCCGAAAGGCCTCCCCAAGCAGCGGCGCGCAGCAGACCGCAAAAGTCGCGCTGGCGCCACGCAGAGGCCCGGCAGCAGCTGCTGCTGCCCCGCCCCTTTCTTGTTGTTGTTGTTATTATTTTGGCGACTTGTCGAGCACTTGGAATATTTTATAAGAAAAACTTGACCCGCTTTATGCAACAACAGCTTCAACAATGGCCGTGCAAGTTCGCGCACATCGTCCTACACTTCCGTGAAATAACCGCACCCAGCCCCCCCTCCCCCTCCCTTACATCATCATCATCATCTCCATGCTCACTTCATTATCCTTGCAGCCTTTGAGCTGCTCACCTGCTCTCTCACCTGCTGTTCCCTTCAGTCGCTGACGTTTCGCATTGTTTCTGTTGTTTCCGTCTTTTTTTCATTATCATTTTTGCCATTTTTCCCTTTCCCTTTCCCTTTCCCTTTCTCTAATTCTCGCTCTTTCGCTAAACTGTTTTTTTTTTCATCCTTCATTCCGGCTCTTAATTAAAATTAACATTTCATAAAGTGTCAGCGGGAAAAACGCGGCGCCAAAATTTTAATAGAAAACAAATATAAAAAAAAAAATAAGTTTATTAATATTTAAGACTAATGCTGTTTACAGTCAACTTAGCCCCGCCTCCATAGCTGTGCACCCCTCCCCCTCCCCTGCGCCCACCCACTCCTGCCCCTCACTTTGCCGCCAGACTGATTCTCAACTTTTCCAAATTATTATCCCTTATAAGCTTTAAATTATATTTAAATAATTATTTATTTAGCTTTTGTTTGTCATGCTTGTCTGTGTGTGTGTGTGTTATGTGTGTGTGTGTGTGTGAGTGTGTGTGTAGGTGTGTTGGCATTATCTTTGGTATTTAGGTATTTTGCAATTTGGGCCGCATAAAGGTCAAATAGTTAAACCTTTGTGTGTGTGTGTGTATTTCAATTTAATTGAGACATTAAATATGAGAAAGGTTCCTCAATTTGCGGCCCACACTTTGTTGAAAGGTTGCCCGTAGATTAAATCAACCGCCGGCACATATATTTTAATCAAGCACAATAAATCATTTTGCCAAAAACTCGCACAAAATGTTAACTAATTCCAAACAATTGTCACAAAGTCAACTCGTAATTTAACCCAAATTGAGCTCAACTTTTGGCATAGATTACAAATCTCATGACTTTTCTAAATGCTGCAAATTTGTTTTGACATTCAACTCCAGAACATGTTATTTGGAAATTAAATATTGCATACTTTTGGGCAGCTCTAAAAATAAATTCAAAATGTTAATTTATTAATTTTAAAAAAAATGTCAATAATTGAAATTGATTTATTTTTTAAACTCTTCAATTTTAATTGTTTATTTTAATCATTATTTGAGACGCAAGTCTCAAAGAAATTGTTGTTAACTTTTGAAATATATTTATTTATTAAGCTGATCAAATTAAAATTTTTGTATTTATTATTATTAATTTTTATTACAAATATTATTATTAATTATTTTCTTTGATTCATCTTTTCATTTATTTAAACATAAAGTTTTTATTTAAATTTAAGCCACAATATTTGCAATTAAACTTTTTGTTATGTTAATAAATAAAAAAAATAAAATAAACTTATTTATTTACACAATATTTATGTATCTGACAAACATAAAATGCAAGCTAGCTTTTGCTCAAATTTAAACTTAATAATACTACTTGAAAATCAATTGCAGATTTATTTAGAATTTTTGTATATTTGCAACCGAACTTTGCATCACGTTTAAAAATTTATGTATTTTTTTTTGTATTTATAAAAAACATATATAATTATAAAAATATATATTTTGTAATATTTATGTTTTTTATTTATATTTAATATGAAAATATGAAATTACAACTTTCAATTTAATTAAAGACAACATTTAAGTCCCACGAAAATATTGAATTCTTTTTAATCGAGTCAATTTTTGTGGTTCAATTAAATGAATTCAATCCTAATTCTGGCATTGACATATTTTCAATTCAAATTTAATTGAAATATATATTTAAAAAAAAAAAAAGTGTAATGAAACCCCGTTTTAAATCAATTAAAACACTCTATAAAAAAAGGGTTCTTTCGGATATTTGAATTTTAATTGATTTTCAGATGGGTTCGCTTTGAACGTCAAATTTCATAAAGTTTACGAAGTGCTCTTAACCTGCTCCAACTTTCGGCTAATCAATAAAGTTTCATTTCCTTTAACCGGCAAATGCAGAAACCAATCAAATATTGTCGCCATCTGCATGCCAACTAAATGGGTTCGACTCCCAAAGAAACCCTAGGGACATGGGTAAAGCAGACTATCAAAAAACAAGTAAGTGGTTCTAGTCGGGTGCTCCCGACTAGGGGATACCCTGAACCCTCTTCTTCCAACATCAAATATATATATTTGTATATATATATATATATATATATATATATATATATATATATATAGCTTCTAAAATAGAATATATATATATATATATATATGGTGACTCTAGCTCTTATTATTTACCAAAATTGCCCAAAAAACAGGATATCGATATCGATGTTTATCGATTGCTTGGAAACGGAGTAAGTTATCGATTATCGGACACAAACTCGATCTGCGCAGGCACTAGGAGCACCTACATCAAGATCCTTTGGCTCATACATACGGACGGACGGACGGACGGACGGAAAGACAGACGGACATGGCTAGATCGACTCGGCTATTGATGCTGATCAAGAATATATATACTTTATGGGGTCGGAGATGCTTCCGTCTGCCTGTTACATACATTTGGATTTTGCACAAATACAATATACCCTTATACCCATTTTTAATGGGTTCAAGGTATAAAAACAACTAAATTCAGCAGCAACAGAAAAAAAATTATGTTTTTTTGTCGTGCAACGCTTTGCTTATTGTTTTGTTTTATTTTTATTTATATTTATTTTCATACTTTTGTTAGTGAGATAATTGAATGCATTATTCAGATAAAATCGTTTACCTTTTAAGGCTCTTTAACACTTTACTGCCAGAAATGGAAATGTTGCCAGCATATTTTATGCGCAAAGTCATCAAAACTTTTGACAACAGCAAACTTTTTGGCTGATTTTTGTTGTTGTTGTTGTTGTTGTTGCTGCATTTGCTGCATGGACACAAAACTTTTATACGGCCCGTTTCACACTAAATTTCGTAGTTTTTGGCATTGATAGAGAACGAGTACGAGATGAGCGTAAAAGTAAAAGAAGAAAAAACACGACACGACACGCATAAACGATCAGATCACTTAGGCACCGTTATGTGCAGGCATTTTACATGCCTTCCTTTCGTTAAGCTGTAATCTCTCTCTCCCACACGGACACACATTAACAGTAACACACTCGTCGAAGGGGAGCTGAAGGGGAGCACACGCGACGTTTGTCAAAGAACGGACAATAAACAATTGTGCCCAGCAGGCAGCGGCGGCAGCGGCAACACACACAAAAATCTTTCGACAAATGCAAATACCGAAAAGGAACACACAAAATATACAACGACTACCGTTACCGTTACCGTTACTATTAATTTTTATTTTCTTTGCCAGAGTTGCGAACCGAACGCGCGCGAGGCTCAATTAGAACTGAGACAGAAGCGAAAGCAACGCCAAGCGGCGTAGGTGAAGAATCGCCGTTAACGGTAAAGTTGTGGTTGTTGCTATTGTTGCTGCCGTTGTTGTTATGCTTATCAGAAACAGCTGCGCGCCAAACGTTACAATAGTCAAAGCGTTAAGCTTTGCCGAAAGCTTCACAGTGCCAGCAAAAATATTGAGCATAGTCCGAGTGCATGCACGTTTTGCAACAATAATTTAGCTTAAAAGTATAATTGAATTGAATTTAAATTGTTTAACATGAGTTATTTGAGTTCAATTGGGGTAATTGTTTATTTTATTATATAAAATGTATTAAATGTTAAATCTATTTATGTAAGCTAGTTACTCAAAAGAACATTAAGAAGAGTCTGTAATTTAAATATATGATAAATATAAAAATAAAAATATGTATGAATGTAATAATTAAATTATAAATAATTAACACAAAATATATTTATTTCATAAATAATTTGAATATTTAACTTATATTTTTTTATACATAAAATACATTTTTTAATATTATTTCATTTTGATGTAACAGACATAGCTTTAAATTAATAAGAAAAAAAGTTTTAAAAAAAGTGCATGGGGCTTTATAGCTCTATCTTATCTTTATCGTCGCCATATAAAAAGCCAGGTGTTAAAATGTACAGCTATAGATAAAATGCACTCGTAACTCGAACCTTAACCCTGGAATACGAAACATAACTTAACACGAAAAAGTAAATATAGCTAAAACTATTTAAAAAAAAACACACAAACACACATTTCAACAGTCGCCGTTGCACTTGCGAAAAAGCCAGATTTGACGGCTAAAAAGCTAAATGGGCAGCACTGGCAGAGGCTACGGGCAAGTGCATCCAATGTCGACTTCGATTCAATGCACTTTTCGACCTGACTCGACTAACAATCAATATGTTAATAGAAAACAAATAAATGAAGCTCAAATTTGTATAAAAAAGTAAATGCTAATTTATTAATGCACACAAAACTATATAAGAAACTTTGGATAATTATAAAAAATAAATGGAATAATTATTGCGTAATTTTGGCCCAAGAAGTAGAAAATAAATGGAAAACATTTTTAATAGTTCTCCGTGGTGCGCACATAGTTAACGCCCGATGGCATCGAGACCTTGTCAAAGCCTTTGGGGAACAGCTTGTGGGCCTCCTCGTCGGTGACGCTTGGCAAGATCATGACCTTGGTGCCGGGCTACAGTGAGCACAGAAAGTATACGTTCAATGAAAGCTCAACAAAATATGATATAATATACTCACAGTCCAGTTGGCGGGCGTGGCAACCACCTTCAAGCGATCGGTCAGCTGCAGCGAGTCGATGGTGCGCAAGATCTCGCTGTGCAAAGGAAGGGTATTAAATGAATCTAAATGCAGAGAAAAATGTCTCCTTCTACTCACTCAACGTTGCGGCCCGTGCTCATGGGATAGAACATGGAGAGGCGCACCTTATGATCGGGACTGATGATGTACAGAGCGCGTATGGTCTTGGCCACCTCGGGATCCTTCTTCTGCTCCTCGTCGAGCATGCCCAGGGAGACGGCCAGATCGCGTGTGGGATCAGCAATAATGGGATACGGAAAATCGCCGGGTATGTCCAGGCAATAGGACTTGATGTCGTTCACCCAATCCACATGCGAGTTCAACGCATCCACCGAGTGCGCCAGGCACTTAGCATTGCGCTTCGCAAACTCCGGCTGATGCACCGCAATGCGGCCCAGCTCCGTGGTGCAAACGGGCGTGAAATCGGCGGGATGCGAGAACAGCACCACCCAGCTGAAATTAGAGGAAAAAATTTGAGTAAAGATCAATTCGACTGTATATATATATATATATAGGGTATGTGCAATACTCACGAGTTGCCCTGCCATTCGTGGAAGCTAATCGGACCCTTGGTGGTCTCCGCCTTGAAGTTTGGCATAGTCTGGCCCAGACGCATTTTTAATTTTTTAATTATTTAATATTTTCAAAAAGAGAACGAGAACTTTTGGAAGATTTCACTTCACTTGTTGCTTGTGTAGTCGCAAGTCGACTGAATGACAACTCGACGGAGGCGCGGCTTTTTATACACCCCACAGCCCAGTCATGAGAAGTTAAGAACGACAAGGAGAGGCAAAACGAGCAAGAGAGGCAGTGCGAGCGAGAGAGCCAAAGCGAGCGAAAGGCAGCGCGAATGAGAGGCAAAGTGAGCGAGAGACCGATCGGTTAGCGGCTCGTAGAACTTTGTCAAGCGCGGCCTTATCTGGTATACAAATATTATATGCAAGTGTGTGTGTGTGTGTGTGTGTGTGTGTGTGTGTGTGTGTTGTGTTTGCCATAAGCCCAGCCATGCATACATATATGCATATGTATGTACATGCATACATTCTTTACGATATTTGTATATATCTCTCCATGCACACTTGTGTATGTATAACTACCGCAAATTTAAAATTAAAAAATAAAAAACAAACAACTGCACTTAACAATAACAACTATTGCATGCGGCTTACAGCATCTACTCACATTATGCACATACCATATCGCTTGTATATATGTATGCACAAATCGGTTTCGGGTTATTCGCTGGCAATATTAATTCTTGCTGATGAAATAATAAAAGTTGCCAACACAGTTGCCAAATGACATAACCGAAAACAATTTGCAAGAAACACCGCAAAACGCCGCTGCAATTTATCAAAGCTCAAATTGGAGCTGCAGCAAAATATAAACAGAGAGCCGAAAAATGCAGAGCGCAGCAGTTGCTTTGATGGTATTAGTGAGCGCCATACAAGTCGCAATACCAACGCACATTTAACGCTCAATTCCCACACGCTTCGAGAACTGAGAGAGCGTCGCTGCGTTTGGCTGTGTGAGTGAGTTGCATGCGTTTACCAACACACGCAAACGTTTACGCTCAGCGAGGTTCGTTTCTACACGAGCAATCGCTGTGAGTGTGAGCTCATGTATGAAAGCAACTTGTTCAGCTGCTTGCGACTTCGTGTTTTTGAGAGTTTCACAAAGAGAGCAGCAGATTGTTTATGTGTATTGGGGTGTTGCATGCAAAACACCAATACTAATGCCAATTTACGCTCATCTGGTGCTCTGCGACAAATAGGTGTAGGAGCAGTCGGGTTCTAATCGGGCAAACTAAGCCTAAGCTGCGCAGATGCCTCAGGACAGTCAAGCAGTTAGGATCATACTATATAGAGGATGAATAACCTATAAAAACCAACTTCTTTTGCAACTTCTATATTATTTGAAAATATCATTTGAAAGTGCGACAAGCGGCAATAAGTACAGTCTTTTTCCTTGTCAAAGTGAGCTCAGTTTTTTTTATATATTTTTTTTCAGTCTGAAAATAAAAAACGCAATAATCTCTGTTCCGCTTGAAATTCTCTGGTTATTTTCCATGCCGACTTGTTTGTGCAAAGCAGCACAACAACAGGCCACAATCTCATTTGTATGCCCGACGATAAGAAACCTAGTTAGGCAAACGGGCAAGCAGGTAGCGCTGCGGCGGGTTGAGCCACGTGTAGCGTCAAATCTGTCCCTGAAATATATCTGATATGCATACAGGGTGCCGCAGCTGCTTGTTGTGGCTCAAAGTCTTCTAAGATAATTAATGCCGAAACTTAACTCTAGGTTAGTTCTTAAGCTGCAGTTGTGCAGTGATGCCCGCCTGAACACGAGAGGTAGCACACCTATTTGTCCAGAGCTCACACCTATAGCTGAGTGAGAGTAATTTTATATTTGTATTGGTAATTTGTATGGAATACATCCATACTATTAAACATTCTATTGCTCTCTTTGTCCAACTCTCAAAAACACGAAGTCGCAAGCAGCTGAACTGGTTGCTTTCGTACATGAGCTCACACATACAGCCTTTGCTTATGTGGAAGCGAACCTCGCTGAGCGTAAACGTTTGCGTGTGTGGGTAAACGCATGCAACTCACTAACACAGCCAAACGCAGCGACGCTCTCTGCGCTTCACACAGCTCAAGTAGAGTCTGGGAATTGAGCGTAAAATGTGCGTTGGTATTGCGATTTGTATGGCGCTCACTAATACCATCAAAGCAACTGCTGCGCTCTTCTTTTTTCGGCTCTCTGTTTATGTTTTGCTGCAGCTTATTCCATTTATTGCGGCTTTTGGTTCAGTTGATTATTGTGGTCTTCAGCTAATTGGACAGGTTTTCAAGTTGGACAAAATTGTTGCAGTGGGGCATTTGGGTATTTATGTTTTTAGTACTTCTTATAATTCTATATTATATATGTATTTTATTATTTACTCTACAAAATGTTATAATATTTATTATTTATTTATAATAATAGTTTTGTTTACGTTTTTCATATTTTTATACGCTTTTTTTACATTTCTATAATATTTGTAATATATTTACACTCATTTTTTATTATATGTACATATTTTTTATATTTATATGAAATATGCGCCTGCTGCGTTCGTCTCTTCCCAATTACAGCTCGAATCCGGCTGATAAGGGTATAAAAGCGAGCATTTGGCGCGGCTTTCGCTCAGAGAGCAAAACAGCAGCTAACTGAAGGTTAAACAGTTTAAGCATAAGTCTTTCTATAAAAAATATATATTAGTATATATAAATGCAAGTCATGTCGCTGATTTGTGTCGCCGACTTTGAGCAAAGGGCCAAGCAGCAGCTGGAACGAACTGCCTTGGACTTTTACAGGAATGGCGCCGGGGAGCAGGTGACCCTGGGCCTGAACCGTGAGGCCTACAAAAGGTGCACATCTTAGCCCATCTATGACCTATCTCCAGAATATAAACCACAATTTCCCGTACAGATTGCGTTTGCGTCCGCGTTGCCTACGCGATGTTTCGCAGCTGGACACGAGCTGCAAGATTCTGGGCCAGCAGCTAAATTGGCCACTGGGCATTGCGCCGACGGCCATGCAGAAGTTGGCCCATCCGGACGGAGAGTTGGGCACGGCACGCGCCGCCGGCCAGGCTGGCTCCATATTCATACTGAGCACGCTCTCCACCTGCTCCATAGAGGAAGTGGCCGCGGCGGCGCCCGAGACCTGCAAATGGTTTCAGCTCTACATCTACAAGGATCGGTGAGTGTCCAGCGGAGACAATCCCAATTGCCAACTGTAACCCCAATTGCCTAACCGTGTCCTTTTGCAGCTCCCTCACGGAGCAGCTGGTGCGCCGCGCGGAGCTGGCCCATTTCAAGGCGCTCGTCCTGACCGTGGACCTGCCCATCAATGGGGATCGGCGCGCGGATGCTCGCAATCAGTTTAGCCTGCCGCCGCATCTGAGACTGGCCAATTTCCAGGACGAGCTCATGCGGGGTTTTGTGTCCAAGTTGGGCGGATCCGGCCTGAACGAGTATGTGGCCAGCCAATTTGATCCGAGCATCACCTGGCAGGACATCAAGTGGCTGCAGCAGCTCACCCAGCTGCCCATTGTCCTGAAGGGCATCCTCACCGCGGAGGATGCGCAACTGGCTCGCGATTTCGGCTGCGCCGGCATCATTGTCTCCAATCACGGCGGTCGGCAGCTGGACACGGCGCCCGCCACGATTGAGGCTCTGCCGGAGATCGTGGCCGCCGTGGGCAAAGATCTGGCCGTCATGCTGGACGGCGGCATCATGCAGGGCACGGACATATTCAAGGCCCTGGCCCTGGGCGCCCAAACAGTGTTCATTGGCCGCCCGGCGCTGTGGGGCTTGGCTGCCAACGGGCAGCGCGGCGTGGAGCAACTGCTGCAGATTATGCGACACGATCTGGAGGTCACCATGAAGCTAGCCGGTTGCCCCACACTGCGCGATATACAGCCCTCCATGGTGGTGCATGAGTCCAGCTATTCGCAACTTTAATTTAATATTAAGAGCTTAGTTTAAGTAGGTTTATATTTTATAAACAGCATTTTGTTTATCTTTAAGCACAAATAAATAACCACGAATAATTCATTCATAAAGCAAAATGAAGTTCAAATTCCAATCGCAGCAAAACATAAACAGAGAGCCGAAAAATGCAGAGCGCAGCAGTTGCTTTGATGGTATTAGTGAGCGCCATACAAATCGCAATACCAACGCACATTTTACGCTCAATTCCCACTCGCTTCGAGAACTGAGAGAGCAGCGCTGCGTTTGGCTGTGTTAGTGAGTTCCATGCGTTTACCAACACATGCAAACGTTTACGCTCAGCGAGGTTCGTTTCTACACGAGCAATCGCTGTGAGTGTGAGCTCATGTATGAAAGCAACTTGTTCAGCTGCTTGCGACTTCGTGTTTTTGAGAGTTTCACAAAGAGAGCAGCAGATTGTTTATGTGTATTGGGGTGTTGCATGCAAAACACCAATACTAATGCCAATTTACGCTCATCTGGTGCTCTGCGACAAATTGGTGTAGGAGCACTCGGTTCGTTTCGGCTTACCAATCGTTGAGTTAGTCAGACAGTGTAGAGCCGTCAGCCAGTAAGGATGAATTTTAGAGATCTACTAAAAATATACACCGAGTCTTAAGCTCCTGTTCAGAACTACTGCAGGATATGGATTACCTAAAAATAAGTATATTTGAAAGCGGATAACTTGTGCTTTATTCAATAAAAACAACTGTACACATGTTTACGTAAAAACCGAGTACAGTATATGCCCTTGATAAAGTGAAATCTATTTTTTCCATTCCACAGTTTTAAAAATCTACAACGCAATAGCGCTAGGTTCATTTGAAATTCGCTGGTAATTTTCCATCGCATTTGTGATTAGTAAATGTGTTTGTCAACAAAATAAAAAAAAACGGGCCATAGACATATTTGTATGCACAGCGTTTACGTAGGTAGACATAGATAAGAACCAGACTTTTGAGCAGCTACAGGGCGTAGAGGGGACGGTCACAGGTAGCGACGTATACAGGGTGTTTTAACTGATTGCATTTTATATTTCAAAGTAAAGCCAGCTGTGACATAGACTTCACATACATCTTTTATATATTTGCCTATGCTGTTAACATTCAAACCAGCGCTCTCTGCGCGCCTTATCGATAACAGCTATGGTAAGTTCGTGGCGAATGGCTGCACTTAACAGTTGCACAGTCGTTTACAGTGCATAGCATTAGCAGTAACATAAATTGCCAAACAGTTAAAAAACCCGGTCACACTGCGCTCAATTCGAGGTAAAAATCTTAAACAAAAAGTCATTTGTGTGATTTTAAAGTGCACTGAACTTTCGTAAAGGTAACGAAATTAAATGTTTAATTCATGCAGTCAGTTAACCAAAATAGCATATTAACAACAATATCACAAGCAGACCAAAAACACAGACCTCACCATTTGCAATGCATTTATTTGGCCACCAGCAAATTTTTTCTGTATGCATGAGTGTGTGCGTGCGTGTACATATGTTTTGCGTGTGTATGTGTATATGCGTGTGTGTGTGTTTAGTGTATATGTCGTGCGCCTGTGTGTGTAAACTGTGACTGGCTGCTGCTGCTGCTAGGGGGAAAACAAAGAAAACTTCAAAAAAGAACGACGTAAAAACGCATTTGAAACGCATTTTGTTAACTGTTACAAAAGCGGAGTGTGCTTTTGCAAAAACGCAATAGTGTAAAAAGTTGGTTATTGATTTTATTTTTATTGCATAGCTGCATGTAGTAGTAGTTAAGTTGTTCTTGTGCCTGCAGCTGCTGCCTCTGTTATTGTTGTTGTTGTGCTTTTTGCTGCCTGCAGTTGCGCGTCGAAAAACTGTAAACTGCTGTTATTGCTGTTGTTGCTGTCTCACAAAATTGTTGCTGTACATAAATTTTCTGCTAACGACGGGTGGGGGGGGGGATGATCGACAAAAGGACATTTGTTCAGGCGCACGCATACAGTTGCAGGATGCCATGTTGTTGCTGTTTTTGTTATTTGCTGCTTTGCACCTGCATTTGCCCTCCACTTCATTCCACCCTGTCCCGCACACTCACACAAATACACACACATGTACACACACAGTCAGCATACTTTCATATGTGTTTCTGTTCTTCGCTTTTAATTGCTTCTTCCAAAAAATCTCTCAGAGTACAACAACAACAGCAAACAGCAAAAACAATAAATAAAAAGAAACATGGATTTTGAGCATGCCGATAACGATAACGACAATGAGCATAATCCGAATTTATCCACGGAAAACAGCAACGCGAGCAGCAACAGCAACAACAGCAATTTACAGGCAGAAGCCACAACAGCAACAGCTGCTGTTAATGCAACTGCAGCCAGCGGCAGCAGCAGCAGCTCAGCTGCAGCCCTGTTATTTAACATAGAGGCTGAACAGGCCGCAACAAACACAATACAAGAACAAACTGAGGCCGAACATGAGCATGAACATTCACCTACTCCTACTCTACAGCAAACACCACAGGGAGACGGAGCACGCGTCGAGGCAGAGCCAGAACAGGAGCACGAGCAGGAGGAGCAGCAGCAGCAGCGGGAGGATAACGAGCCGCAGCAGCAGCCGGAGATAATCGACGCGGACGCCATTGCCGACACGATTGACGCGGGCGCCATTGACAACGATAACGACGCCGTCGTGGAGCGCATTGACGATTACGACGACGAGGACGAAGGCGACGACGACCTCGAAGCGGAGGAGGAGGTGGTGGAGGAGGAGGAGGCCGACGCAGACGCCGACGCCGACGCTGTCGCCGCAGCAGCAGGAACACCGCCACCAGCCGCTGCCGTAGCAGACGACGCCGCCGCAGCCAGTGGCCAGCAGCGTCTGCATTCTGTGGCCGTCTTACCGAGCTATTCCTCGGCGCGTGCCCCACTGCCACCGCTGCTGCGTGCGCCGCGCAGCCATCACAACAGCAACAACAACAACAGCAATAGCAACAACAACAATAACAACAACAACAGCGGCGCCTCCAGCTCGCGACGCACGCGTCACTTTTACAGCAACAACGGCAGCCACTTCAGCAACGACATGTACGCCGGCGGCCACAAAGGAACCAGCCAGAGCCACAGCCACAGCCACAGCCACAGCTCGTCCCGCTTGGCCAGCGGCAGCAGCGGCGGGGGAGCAGCAGCTGGCGTGGGCGCAGGCGGACGCAGCGCTAACCAATCGCACCAGGGCGTCGATCCCTTGCGTCTCCTCTATCCGAATGTGAACGAGAACGAGACGCCGCTGCCGCGCTGCTGGAGTCCGCACGACAAGTGCCTGACCATTGGACTCTCGCACAACAATCTCCGTGTCACCTACAAAGGTGAGTCGACAGCAATGCAATAGCACACCGTTTCTAGAGTACATATTGATGCATTGTCATAATGTTAATTAAGTTGGATTTATCTAGAAGAAGAATATATATACTGTAGGAGAATCTTATATTCTCATAGAATGTATCTATAAAGTGCTTCACTTCAGCTTTCTTCTGTTTAGAAGTAAACCTTATAGATGCATTGTCATTATGTTAATTAAGTTGGATTTATGTAGAAGAAGAATATGCATATCGGAGAAAAGAATACTGTAGTAGAATCTTATATTCATATAGAATATATCATTCAAGTGCTTGAGTTCCGCTTTTATCTATTTAGACGTCTTTTAAGCAATCCTTATAGTATAGATCTATTCTATTCTATATTTATTCAGATAGATTATGTTAATTGAGCAGGGTTTATCTAGGAGAATAATATGTATACATATGAGCTCTAGGTCAATGTTGTATCTAATATATATCTATCTATCAAGTGCTTTAGTTTAGCTTTTATATGTTTTGAATTCAAATCGTCTTTAAGCTCTTCAAGTTTACTATTTTAACTATTCCCAAGAATTTTCTTTAGGTCAGCTTTGGCTTCAGTAGAAAGAAGAAACTAAAAAACAGGTTAAGAAATATTCTAGGCATAATATTCCAGCTTGTGTTATATGCATATTATAGGGCAAAGTTTAATTCTAATATGTAAATTTGTATTATATATACTAAAAAGTAGTATTCATCTACCCAGGCAAAGTATTATTTATACAATCCTACAATTTTTGCTTTCCTTTCATTTTCCAACATTCAAGGAGCTTTATTTAAACTTCAAGTAAATTCATTAAATGTTATATATATTTTTTAATATTATACATTGATATTTATGTTTGAAAAAGTTTAGACGGAACTTCATTCAACACATAATTCTCAAATAGGGCAGATATAATAAATAATTAATAATTCCTTCCCTAATAATAAGGTCAACAATATTCGAAGGATTAAGATTTAATCTATTTAATGTTCGGCTGTCTAGCTTCTACGTGTTAGGCGTTCAGTGAAGCAAATTAATCAGTTTTATATATAAACTAGTTTTAACACAGCTTTGATCTGTTCTAAAATCTCAATTTCAACATTCTTTATATTCCTATATTCCTTTCATCTGTTGAGTTCCCAAATTTCAAGTTCCTTAACAGGTAGTTAACATTACATTAACATTCAAATGTTAAAAGGCTGTTAAGAGTTTAATTGTTTTTAATTATAGTTTATCAAGTTCGCGACAACTTCCTAAAAGTGAGTCATCAGAGCGAGCAGAACGTTAGAAATATTTTGTACTTATACATATATATGTTAAGATATACTAAAATAGGGTGCGAGCAAAGTTAAAAAACAACAGCATTTCTTCAACTAATTCAATACAACATTGTTTTAACATATTTCTAACAGTGCATACAATTAAAGCTGATTTAGTTGACAAACTTTAAAATTACATTATATTGAGTTGCCAGCGCTGCTTCCTCTTGCTCGCTTAACAGACAGCAACAACAGCTGCTCAAGCTGCCATTTTTGGTACAAAACGCCAACGCGCTGCTTTGTGTGGCGACCACACGGAATGTCGGCACAGCAGTTGTCTCGCTTGCACTCGTGCAACTGTAATGGCTGCTGTTTTGTTTTTTGGCGCCCACTTCTCACACGCTTATTCGCGTGCTGACCTGCGCTTGTGTGAGTGGTTGGCAAACAGCTGATTGGCTGCACACGCTTGCAAGTTCGTTGTAGGAGAAAGAAATGAGGTGTAGCAATTACAGTGCGCGGTCATTATAATGAACGGGGAAAATATGAAAAAGAACTTAGTTGGGCAACAAATTTGTTAGCAATGTACAAGAAATGCACCATGAATAAACAGGTTTATTAAATAATAATATGTTATAATATTAAGTAATAGCTCAGCTAGCGTGTGTTTACTGTACTTCTCGTGTTTGTTTACAGGCGTGGGCAAGCAACACAGCGAGGCAGCAGGCTCTGTGCGTACCGCATACCCGATACCATCGTCCTGTGGGCTTTACTACTTCGAGGTGCGCATCATTTCCAAGGGCCGCAACGGTTACATGGGCATCGGACTGACCGCCCAGCAGTTTCGCATGAATCGCCTGCCAGGTGCGTATTGTGTGAAGCGCAGAACTCATATGACATACCCACTGTTGTGTGCACTTCTCTCAAGTAGGTGGGGACAAGCAATCGTATGGCTATCACGGCTACGACGGCAACTCGTTTAGCTCCTCGTGCAACGGCCAGTCGTATGGGCCCACCTTTACCACGGGCGATGTAATTGGCTGTTGCGTTAATTTTGTGAACAACACTTGTTTCTACACCAAGAACGGCGTCGATCTGGGCATTGCATTTAGAGATTTGCCGGTATTTATTACAATTAAAATTATCATACAAATTGAATTGGAAACTGAACTCGAAATTTAACCACACAGACCAAACTCTATCCGACGGTGGGCCTGCAAACGCCCGGCGAGGAAGTGGATGCTAATTTTGGTCAGGAGCCTTTTAAATTTGATAAAATTGAGGAAATGATGCGCGATATGCGCATCAATATCTTGCGCAAAGTCGACAGATATCCCCATTTGCTGGAAACGCCCGAAAACCTAATGAACAGGTAAGCATTCAAATATTTTCAATTAGTGAAAAAGAAACTAATGCTCGTCGTTTTCAACAGGCTTGTCTCCACCTATCTGGTGCACAGTGGCTATTGCAAGACGGCTGAGGCTTTCAATGGCTACACAAATCAGCCCTTCGACGAGGACTTGGCCTCCATCAAAACACGTCAAAGTGCGTACAAATTAAATAGTTTAATTATTGATGTTTCATGTAGAGATTACTCCAAACCGACAAATTGTAGGCGTATATTCTTGATCAGGCTGTGTCCGTTTATGCAAGACAGACTCCTACTTTCTAACTTTATAAATTGGTTATATCGTCATTTTACTTAAACATCTCTTCCCGCTGCTTTCAGAGATAATCAAGCTCATACAGACAGGCAAAATGAGCCAGGCCATCGAGAATACACTGCGCTCCTATCCAGGTCTCTTGGAGAACAATAAAAATCTTTGGTTTGCACTGAAGTGCCGCCAATTCATTGAGATGATAAATGGCGCTGATATTGAGGTGAGTTTCTCAATTGTTTCCAGCCAATATAAAGTTAAAGCGTTGTCAATTTGTTTACAGCACGCCAATAACAAAGTAACCGCCACCACACAGACCATGCCCACAAATCAAACCTCGGTCATACAGTCGACCAAGGCATTCAAGCACAGCAAATCCGGCGGCTCCGGAACCGGCACCGGCATCGGCACCGGCAGCACCAACAACCAGCCACAAAACAACACTGCGAACTCAGCTGTGATAAAACCAGGCGATAAAACAGATCCCAAAATGTTTGTAGCATAAAATGGAGCTATTTGATTTATTTATATTCTAAATTGTTGTCGCATTTGCAGCATGATTATTGATGACAACTCCAACAAGTGTCCGGAGCACGATTCAAATAGCATGGACGTGGAAATGGAGCCTTGCAACAGTCACTCCAATGGTGCGTTTCAGTTCTTAGAACAATTATGCTTACATTCCTTTTTAATTAAAAGGCGAATATTTACCTAAGTAATAATTCGATAGCTTAAAAATCCAATCAGGTTCGACTTAAGACTGATGATTAGCCACGCGCTTTGAGAATAGTTCAATTGTGATATATATATATATATTATTATGGTATAGTTAACAAGCACCTAAATGGTATTTTATAATTTTTTATGTACGAGTTACATAAAAAATGTTCAGGTGCTGGCAATTCACGTAACGACATCTAAAGATACTTTCTAATTTGAAACTGTTTCGAGCTTAAATGTTATACTATCTATAAGAAAAGAGACTTAACTATGGCATTACTAGAAAAGCTCTTCAAGAACTTAGGCAGACATGGTTTGAGCATATATCATAATATTATTATAAAAGTAAGATATTTTAAATAATTAAGGCATGAATTTTAAACTGATTTAAAGCAGATTCAAGCTCGATGCGAAACTGTTCTGAGATGAAGAATTCGAGTGGAAACTATTTATTCAAGAAGAAGGTTCAGATACATTTGTGGACTTAGGCTAATTTGGTTGAAGAACTGCTGCGAATGCTGTATATTCAAGAAGATCTGCGAAACTTTGAAGACAAACTTAGTTAAATGTGGTTCAAGGATTCAAGAAGAAGCTGCCATAGTCGAATATGATTTAGGAATTCCTTTGAACAAAATTAATTCAAGAAAAAGTGGAACAAATGTGGTTCGAGCTTTGTTATGCATGCTATATTTTTAAGAAGATTCGGCCTAGTTCAAAACTGATTTCAAGAAAAGACGAATTTAGACGAAGATTCAAGAAGAAGACTTGCAAAACTTAGTCAAGAATTTTTATATATGCAAGAAGATGAAGAAGTATTATCAATTTCTGACGGGTAAGAAGAGCTCAAGTTGTAATTTAGCAAAAAGTAGAACGAAGAAATCGTAAGTTTCGTAGCACTAATCTAGTTATTATTGAATAAGAAACATATTGAAATGTATATTCATACACTATATATGCACTTATTCAGGCGATTCCTGTTCTAATGGCAATGCCAGCGTAGCACGTAACTCTCTAGATGCCATCGATGAGGAAATGGGTATGGGAACCAGCTGCGAATGCCAAAGCATATTGATATCATATCCAACAATTTTTACAGATGTGGACGTGTCGCCCTCATCGCGCAATTATGGGCGTGTCATTGAAAAGATTTTGGAATTCGGCAAGGAACTGTCCAGCATGGGCCAGCAGCTAGAGAAGGAGAACCTCATGACTGAAGAGGAGCGTCAAATGTTGGAGGTGCCTCACAATAACTATAAACTGACTATATATGTGTGTTTACTTAAATTTATATTGTCTGTAAACAGGATGCATTTAGCTTGATTGCCTACTCAAATCCTTGGTCCAGTCCCTTGGGCTGGCTACTGTGTCCCTCGCGACGTGAGAACGTTTCCACCACGCTCAACTCAGCCATATTAGGTAGGCATGGAGTACTTGCAATTCTTTGGCCAACTTTTACTATATAGTTCTTTTTTGTATTACCCCCGCAGAGTCGCTCAATTTTGAGCGCCGGCCGCCACTTGAGTATTTGGTGGCGCATGCGGCGGAGCTATTGAAGATAATTGGACAGCATTCGCTGGGCGAGGATGCTTTCATTACCATCGACGATGTGTTCCCGCAAAATTGACCCAGTTCGCCGACGCTGCTAAAGATGTTCGAGACCACGCTGACTCTGCCGCGCACCAGCGTGCTAACCGAACCGCTGGGCAGCGTACCCTCCACATCGACGGCCGCCGTGCAAACCACCAAACGGCGGCGCCGGCGGCGCAACAAGCGTCGCCGCAAATCGTCCATATCGAGCAGCGAGGCGACCTCAACCAGAACCTTCGATCCCGTCTTGACTGCCACCAGTATACGCGGTGGCAATTCAGGCACAGCACGTCGTGGTCGACACAGGGGCGTCGGTTCCGCATCATCAGCAGCAGCTGCTGCTGCAGCTGCGGCGGCGGCGGCGGCAGCAGCAACAACAACAACAACAACAGCAGCATCGGCATCCGCAGCAGCAGCTTCATCATCGGCCATGAGCGGTGGCAGCAGCCCGGCGCTATTTGTGGATCCGCACGACTTCTTTGAAACGCTCGACTAGATTAAGATTATAAGCGAACTGTAATCTGTAATCTGTAGTAGGTTAATTCTGTTGTTACTTCCCATATTTTACACGCGTCAATGCGGCTATTTAATGCCCTTCATTTTTTAATGGTTTAAAATTACGATAACTAATGCTGGCAAAATTCTTTGGCGATTGCGATGCGTTGTGCGTTTGGCCTATTGATTTGGCAAGATTTTAATAACGTTTTACAGAAATATTTTTATATAATTAGCCTTTCGGATATAAGTCTAAAGCAAACAGTGTGTGTAATATTATTCTTATGTATAATTCAACAAAATAGTTGCCGTGCTGCGCCACGCCCCCCTCTGAAACTAACTGGCAAACATGATTCTGTGTGCGTATTGTTTATTGTTTTACCTACTGAAGCGCAATGCTGCTAACGAGAGATAACACCAAAATAGTTTCTTAAATACCAACGCAACTCTTTAGCATATTTAAAAGCTGTACGTTCATTTAACTTTAAACTAGAGTTTACAACAATATAATCGCTTAAATCAAATGCAATCTGAAAAAAGAAAAAAACAATATATATAGCTAACTGAAACATTGTGAACAATTCAAATAAACTAAAATTCATTATACTTAATGCGAGATGTGTGAACAATACCCGATCTGAGCCCCAATTTATATTTGGGTGCAAAAAAAATGCAAAACAAATTTCGATGAATTTTTCATAAGAGCAAAAGTTTTAAGTGTAATATTTCGCTGTAGTAGCAACTAAAACTTAATCGATAAGTATATACAACTGACATCGTTTAAATATACATATACGTATGCATATATACATGTAAACATATGTGTATTTCAAGAAAACTAAAAACAAGATCATTTTTGTACTCCTTTTGATCCGCGTTAACATTGCAACAGCTGTTAAAGTTAACAGGACTCACAGCTGTTAATTTAAGTTTATTTCATATGGGTTATAGCACAGAAAAAAACATACCATTAACAAGCACTTGCATTATCTAACATACAATTTCAATTATTATATAATACTAATCTACAAATCCGGTTGCCTAATGCGCTGCACACGTTCCGTATTCTTGACATGCTGCTTCAACAATTTCATAATATCCGTATCATATTCGGGCGGCGTGGGCTTTGTTTCCGTGGCCCAATAATAGATATCCCAATCGTTGCTAACCCCATTGATGAGCTTGTCGTATAGCGCGGTCTCATCCTCGTCGAAGTCCTTCAGATACTTCGCCACAAATGTGCTCAGCAGCAGATCATTTTCCAGCATGCCGCGTTTGCGCGACTGATACAAAAGCCTGGAAATTGGAAAGCGATAAGTCAATGTATTTTACCCATTTAATTGTGTGTACCCACCGCTGCTTGCGTGTCGCGAGTGGTTCGTCGGGTCGCACTGGATACTCCGGCACCGGCAAGCCTTCCGGATCCTCGTAGTCAATCACCTCGGGAGGCGTGGAGTACTCACTTTTGTCGAGACCATTTGGTTTGCTGCTCAGACAGCGTTTGGGCGTGGCCAGCGGCAGCAGCAGACGGCGCGCAGCTGTGGAGCACTAAAGCAGCATTTTAGTAAAGCCTTTAAGACTAGTTAAGCTTAATACTTGCCAAAAGTTGACGCAACATTTTATTTATCTGTGCACAGTTATAAAGCACGCAATAATGAACAGCTGTTCGAAGCCAGGGCTGTAAAAATGTATGCAGCTGTTAAGAAATAACAGTGATCTAACAGCGTGACCTACTTTACCTTTAGCAAAATGTTATGAGCGGCAAGCATTAAATTATTGTATAAAAATCTGCTTTATATTAATTAGTGTATGCAAGTAACTGTAATAATTTAAGTTTAATAACAGTAGCTAATTTTAGTCATGCATGAAAAAACTGCGCACTGTCGCTCGCATTTGAATTCAACTGTGCGCAAACGACAATCGTTGCAAGCTGCACACTTAACAGTCTGTTAAACTCAGAGCGTTGCCACATACAGTCCGCCAAATGTAAACAAAGTGCATGGAGCTGATGGTCTGGCAATGCCAGAATCAGTTTGAAAGAGACAGCGAGAGGCAGCAAAAGTGTGTTACAAGTTTTTGCACACCCGAAATATTCCAATTAAATTAGAATTAATGCAATTTTAAAACAAAGTGCAAGTGCTAAACATTGTGCAACGGGTAATGGTGAAGATAATGTGTTGCCAAATGTGCAAAAGCAATCAAAGAAAATAGAACCTGAAAAGCTAACAAGCAAGCAACGGGCGAAGAAGAGGGTGGCCTCTGTGCTGCGCGCTGCGCTGCTCTGCGCTGCTCTGCTCAGCTCGTGTGTGCAAGTGTTGTGTGTATACGCTGGCGCTGGAAACTAGGCGGTGGTAAAATGTAAAGCCGAAAAAAAAACGAAACGAAGAAAATTGCGCTCACGCTGCCCGCCCTGGCGGTGGGTGGGAGAATGTGTATATATATATATGTGCCTCTGTGTGTGTGTGTGTGCAGAGTGCGTGTGCGTGAGAGTGCGAGCGTGAGCGAGCGAGCAGCGCGGCATGAAACTACTAAATGGAAATTTATACAAGCGCCCCAAACACCACCCAAGCAACCACCCAGCCGCCCAACTAAAACCTAAACGCGACGCTCCCACGCAAAAGCCGCATAAAAAAAAAACTAAACGTTTCTAAAAGTTACACAAAACGCAGCATCAATAGAATTTGGAACGGCGACTGGCAGATCGTCCCCAGTCTCCAGTGTGACCACGCGCCGTCTTAGCCGGCACAACGACCCGTTTAACACATCTATTGCGCCTACGCCCACGCCTTCCACACACAAACACACATACACTCATGTAGAGAAAAACGCAGGACCTGGCCACACCATGCACAATATTTCCCAAAAAAAAAAAAAAAGAACAACACTACATGATAAGTTGCCAAAAAGGCGTAATATTTTCCTCTTGCATTCTTTTAGTCAGTTTCGATAGCATTTTCTGATTAGATAAATGGAATTGACGAATATGTGTGTGTTATATTACATATTTTCCATTCAAGCCATATGTAAATTGGCTAGAGCAGTGCCTGCTGCTGCTGCTGCTGCTTGCTCTCGTTGTTGTTTTTGTCGCTGATAACAAACTACAGCAACAACAACAACGGCAAGAAAAGCGCAGTTCAATTATAGCAGCGCGCGCCCTATTGGACGGCAAGACAGTGGCGGCCATAAAATTAGGTGCACTTGTCAAGTAGGCAACACTGTTATCTCAATGCCGGTGCGTGCCTGCGTCTGCGTGTGTCTGTGCGTGTCTGCGTGTGTGTGTGTGTGACTCATTGCTCATTGAGTTGTTGTTGTTGTTGTTGTTGTTGCTGTCACTTCCCGTGTCAGAACGGCTGAACGGTCAGTTGTTATTGTTTATGCAGAAAAATCCAATTGGATGCTGCGCGCTCGGCTGCCATTTCCCAAGACAACAAATAAAAAAACAAGAAAAGAAGAAGAATAGTACATATATACACAAAAAAATAACCAAATATTCGCTTATATTTCAGTGTGTATATTGTAATTTTAAGCATTTTGTAAATAAGATAAAAGTATAATCAATCAAATCGAATCAAATCAAATCATCAATAACTAAAAAGCAGCCACCTAAAGAAACACACCCTAAACTTTAACTGACAAGTGCTGCCAAAGCCACAAAACTAAAAAAAAAAAAACTAAAACAAAATGGGCTGCACTACATCGGCTGAAGAGCGCGCTGCCATACAACGTTCCAAACAAATCGAGAAGAACCTGAAAGAGGATGGCATCCAAGCGGCAAAGGACATTAAACTTTTGCTACTCGGTAAGTGCAATTTACAACAATTTATAACAATAACAAATGCAATCATTTTTCTTATTTTTTTTTTTTTTTTGTTATTTTTCTTCTGTTTGTTTATGCACACACTCAGAACTTTCGCTCAGGAAGTCGCTGTGCGTTCCCCTTTCTCAAAAAGAAAACAATCTCATCTTTTGTGTACCTACATAAATGGAATTTCTTTATCAGTTGCGAGTCGCAACGAGCACTTGAGTTCTTTAAAGTTGTTTTCCTTTTACATTTTTTTTTGATAGAGCAACTGCATACAGGCTCAATTATTTTAGGCCTTGCACAGTGGTATGTGCTGCAGTTTTTATGGGCCATTAGGAAATATGTGTAATAAAATAAAATGGGATAAGCGGGTGAAGGTATGTGAAATGATAAATATTTTATTGTTCTTTTACTTTGTTGAAATATTTGGTGAAGTTTTGCATTTAATCGATGAGCTGCTTTTCAATGGGTATTCAAACAAAAATGAATATTATAAAAAGTTGCTGTAAACAATAAAAGCCGCATTTAAGTTCGTCTGCAACGACTTTATTATGGAATTTAATAGTTATTACAAGAAAAAAGTTCAAACTATTGCCTTAAACTTTATATATAGTAAAGTTTTACCTATTTTCAAAGATAATCCCAAAAAAAAATCATATCCTAATTTATTGTTAAGCAAAAAATTGCCACCAAGAAGAGAGTGAAAAGAGGAAAAAAGAAAACGTAACTCAAGGCTGATGCATCATCCAGTGGCATGATAATTTATTCTTAGCGTGTGTTGTGGCCAAGGCAACGAAAAGGCGACCGAAAACTTAACAATTGGGTCAAATGCGATGCTTTGTCCGGCTCTCGTTTTCGTTCTGCCACTCCATATTCCCATTCCCATTTCCATTCTCGTTCTGCTTCTGGTTACTCTTCTTGTTCGGGACAGATTCGAGTGCTCATGCTTGCGACTTTACACTAATGACAACTGACAAATCGAGGGGCATGCGGTGCAATGCATTTTAGAGTGCACTCAGACCACGGTGCAACTGTTGCGGCTGCATTCGAGTGTCTGTGTGTGTGTGTGTGCAACAGCTATGTGCAACAGAGGCGACGCCACGCCAAGTTGCGTCAGGCTCAAGTGCGCCCCTTCGCGCTAACCTTCTACTACACTCAGAGAAATATTTATTCTAAATTCTTGTTAGAGATTTTTTACCATTTTCCAATTTAAGCCTTTTGAATATTTTATCTTGATTTCAAAATAAACTCTAAATGTAACAAAAATAGGTAAAGAAATTCTTTGTATTAAGTACAACATACTTTTTACAAGAATTTGCTTACCTTACGAAAAGAAATAAAAAGAAAAATTAACTTGGATTAAGTACAAAAAGTACAGAATACTTTTTACAAGAATTTGCTTTGCTTACAAAAAGAAATAAATAAGAAAAATCGGCTTGGATTAGGTAAAAGAAATGTGTTTAAAGCATTTTTTTTAAGTGAACATATTTAATACTTAAGTTAAATTAAAACAAGTAAGAGGTTCTAGTCGGGAGCTCCCGACTAGGGGATACCCTGAACCCTCTTATTCCAACACCAAATGAATATATATATTCTATTTTAGAAGCTATATGTCAAGTTTGGTAACTCTAGCTCTTATTATTTACCAAAAAACCCAAAAAACAGGATATCGATATCGATTTTTATCGATTGCTTGGAAACGGAGTAAGTTATCGATTATCGGAAACAAACTCGATCTGCGCGGGAACTAGGAGCATCTACATCTAAAATTTCAAGTCTCTAGCTCTTATAGGTTCTGAGATCCTTGCGTTCATACATACAAACGGACGGACGGGCAGACAGACGGACTTGGCTAGATCGACTCGGCTATTGATGCTGATCAAGAATATATATACTTTATGGGGTCGGAGATGCTTCCTTCTGCCTGTTACATACATTTGGATTTTGCACAAATACAATATACCCTTATACCCATTTTTAATGAGTTCAGGGTATAAAAAATGTTCAGCAATAAGAATTTTGTCCTCAGTTTCGACATATTCACACAAGTAGTCGCCTTTTTCGCTGAGTGTAGCCGCTGGCGCGCCTGCATCCGCCAAAACGGCACTTGGCATTCAAGCGTTTGCACGTGTAGCTTTACCTGTCGATTGACATGAACCACAAGCCACGCGCCTTGCCACGGGTGGAGGGTGCGTGCAGGGAGGGTAGCGGGGCGACTCTTGTAAACGGACAACTTACTCGGCTGGCAGTTAAGCACTTAAGCAGCTCGCGCCACTGACATTGACATTGGTGTCGTCCGTTAATCCCATTTAGCCAAATGCCAGGCCCCAGATCCTGGACAAAATGCAAGAGAGAGCAAAAGATATATGAGAGATGTAAGCTAACTCGGAATGCTCGGGAATGGAAACTTAATGAAAGTGTATTTTTATTTTTCTATACTTTTTTGATAATCCTCCAAAATAAAGTATTTTCTCGCCTAGAATTGGTTTGTAAAAATCGTTTACTTAAAATAAATTAATCGGAAATTGGAAATGAAAAAAGAGTATTTGCCAGATTTTCAAGCACATATTTATATTATATTTTGCATTTGTAGTACATTGTTTTGAAAAATCCTGTAGAATTGGACCAAAGAAATTTTGTAAAATTTAAAATTTTGTATTTAAAAGAATAGAAAATAACAAGTTTCGGTGTGCCTTATCTTCTGAACTTGTATATATATTTGATTTGTGATATATTGCCACATGTTGATGATAAAGTGTCTCAAAACGGCAAAGTTCGACCTTTTTACTGTGCAAAGTTTTATCAAGAAAGTTCTTAAACTAAGAGATTAGTTGGCATAGAAACATATAGAGGGAAAGT